ACTTTGGTTTATATTTTATCTTTTATAAAAAATATTTTACAAAATATCTTATCAATTAAAAATTTATATTTTTCTCTTTTTTAAGGGCATTATTGTTTGGTGGAGCTGGAAACAGTAAGGGACCTATATTATTATTTATGGTATCCGTCCTTCTATGGGGATATCCAATGTATTTATTAAAATGTATACCATTAACATGGAATCTTTTACGCGGTAGTCATTATTGTTTTATTTATTGGAATATTGTTATGTGGATTTCATGGATTGTAGCAAACAGAAGAGATCCTGGATATGTACCACAAAATAGTGAAACCTACTATAGAGCAATTAAACAAGTATTTTATAATTTTATATTTTGCTATAAAATATTGCATATCATTTTATGAAACAATTTTTATTTTCAGATTCCATATTTTGATAAGTGGAAAAAAAGGAACGTAGTATTATCTCGTTTATGCCATAGTTGTAGATGTTTTAGACCTTTAAGAGCTAAGCATTGCAGAATTTGTAATAGATGTGTTACATATTTTGATCATCACTGTCCATTTATATATAATTGTGTAGGTTTAAGAAACAGGTAAATTTTAATAATTTATATTTAATTATAAATATAATTCAATATTTCTTAATTATAATTATTATTTCAGAATGTGGTTTTTTCTTTTTGTTATGTGTGTAGCAATAAACTGTTCATTTACTATTTATTTTGCTTGTTATTGTATGGCAATTGAAGGAATCCAATTATTATATGTATTAGGTGTATTAGAAGCATTAGTATTTTGTGGACTTGGATGGATTTTGACTTGTACTTCGGTAAATATAAAAATTCTGCTGTAATATATTATATTTAATCAATTTTTTTAATTTACATATCTACAATAATAATCTACAATAATAATCTTTTTAATCTACAGGTTTTGCATGCATGTATGAATTTGACTACAAATGAAATGTTTAATTATAAACGATATTCATATTTAAGGGACAAAAAAGGAAGATATTTAAATCCTTTTAGCAGAGGTCCTGTTCTTAATTTTATTGAATTCTTTTTATGCCCTCCAAATCATCAAGCAAATGACCCTCAAAATTATCAAATACTTTCAGAAGATATCATGTAAAAAATAATATAAATTGTAATTAGTATTTTTTAATAACATTATATCTTTAAGAAAACAAAAATGTTAATAATTAAGCACTCAATATTATATCACATATACATAATATATAATCTTCATTTTTAATATTATAACTTTTTATTTATGATATTAAATAAAACATGATTTAATAAATAATTTATTAATTTATTTTTAAGAATTTATTTTATTTAACATATTCCTATTATAATTAGAATAATATTATTAAAAAAATTACTAGTAAAATCATACAGTTTTAACTTTTTGATTCCTCTTATTATTATTAAATAAAAAAAGTATCAATTTATCAATATATCAGAAATATGATAATATTGTCAGTAATATATATTATTGATACATCAAATAATTATAAATTGATATATATATACAAATTATATTAGAAATTATATAAAATCTTTGGTAAAATATACTATACTTTTGCATTTAATTAAAATATCAATATTTTTTACTTCATATAATTAAAAATTAAAAAGTTATATATATAATTAAAAATATTATATTATAATATTACTAAAAAATTTTTTAATTATTTATATAAAAATTATAACTTATTTATTAGTATAGAATTTAGTTTTCACTTTAATAAGTATCTAAATATTATCTTATCAATATATCTTATGACAAATGACTATAACAATTAATAAATGTAATATAAAATTCTTATTTTAATTCATAACAAAAATCATAATTTGGTGGAGGATCAGGAACAGCAGGTGGATCTTGAGGAATATCAATCCCTTCTGTATCTAAAAGTCTCAATTTGATATCCATGGATAATAAAGTCTCAAGGTCATTTTCCGCTTCTTTACTAGTCATTCTATTACCTGTAAGGTATAAGATATAATTTTTTAATTAATTTTAATAAAAAAAAGATAATTCAAATCACGAATAACATCGTTACAATACCAAGCAAAGCATTAATGCCATCAGTCCAATAATCAAAAACTTGTTCATCCGGAGCTACAAAATCTAAACTTGAAACTTCTACAGAATCTAAAATTAAAGAGAATGCTAATTGATGTGTAGTTTTCCGTCTTTGTAAATCTTTCATATGAGGACAATCTCTGCCAGTCAATAAAGCACGAATTTCAACAACAGCTAATTTTGTAGGAAGTTCATCAATTGTTGGTACTGATTTTTCATCACAATCACCATAATGAAATACTTTGTGATTTGGTGAAAGTCGAACATACCAGAATTTATCCTTAATTCTCTATTTATACAAACATATTTATTATAAACATATAATTCTGAAAATTATCTAATTTAATTATATTATTTTATTAAATAACAAATACCTGTCCTCTAGCACTATATTTCATAAATCTAGTGCCTTCTACTAAAAATCCTAAGCGTTGTTGTTGAATCAATTCTAAAATTTCAGGTGTAATTTGTTCCCTAAGTTCAACTATTGGTCTTGCATGACTTTCCCATTCTTCTCTACTCGTCCTTTCTTGTTGCCATAAATTAGTAATAGTTGAATATGTTAATTGTTGTAATTTATTTTTGAATTTATCCAATCCTGTAGGTTTACATTGAAGAGCTCTAGTAATTTGTTCTCTTACAACAGAAAATACTTTTATGAAATCTTCAGTAGTAGCTCTCATTTCTTTCCAAGTCTTATTTAAAAGAACTATGCATACACAATAAAACTCCTCAAATGGATGATCATGTGTAAAAAACATAGGATGATATGATTGTCCTTGTTCACTGGGTGCTTCTCCAATACGTAAAACCTAGTTAAATTCAATAGAAACTTCTAATTATTTGAGCTATCCATGTTTTAAATTTTATATATTCACTTACTTCACAAAGTAATTTAACAAGTTCTACACTTGTTCTACCAAAAGGACATTCATGTTCATCTGCCCTGCAAGAGTTTTCTAAAACAACTTTAGTATAACCTTCAGTATGATTACGTGCAAAATAAACCATACAATCTAGGGCAAGCATGCCAGGAGGAGTTTCAGTAAAATCAAGAGCAGGATTAATATCATATTTAAAACCTAATTTTTTATAGTCTTTAGCAAAAAGACCTTGCTTTCTAGCAATAACATCTCCACCTACGGCTCCTTCAGTATCAAAAGCAATTCTTCGAAGTTCTTTTATTTTATCATGTGCATCTTGATCCTGTGGATCCATTTTTGTTATCATACGTTGTTCCAACAAACTTAACATAAGTGTTTGTAATACATAAAGTTGATGTGCCATTTCTGCACCAACCTATATTTGAATTTATTTCTCTAATAAATTTATACATATATAAATAAATAAAAGATTTGATATTTCATACCTGACCAGTAGATTGTATAATATTTGTTAAAAACACATTTCTAACTTGTTTAGATTGAAGAGTTGCAGCAACAGCTTTACGTTTAGATAAATCTGCCTTAAGAAATAAGGCATTTATTAAAGCTATAGCATTTTGTTGTATTTGTGGACGTGTACTTTGTAAATGCATCACTAAATTAGGAAAAGTCACTTCTTTTTCGACTTGTCCATATTTTCCTGAGGAATTTAATACTATATTTTCAAGAATACTAAGTGAAGCTTCAATAATATTAGTATCTTGAGTTACAGCTTGATTATTCACATAGCTTGCTACTTTATTAATAAAAGGTGTTTCTAATATATCCCATGAAACAATTCCATGATCCATTAATTCAACAAATGATTGAAGTGAGTATGCAAGAGCATTTCCCTTATATTTTTCACCTTCTACCTATAAAAAAAAATAATAATAATAATAAATAATAATAATCTCCCCTATTTAAATAAATTATAATCAAATATAAATAATATAATTAAATGAAAGAAAAAATGACAAATACCTGTGATATAATCAGAGCTAATCCTTGCTTATTAATGAATTCTAATGCAAATGTCATATCTGTGCTAAGAGTACTTAATTTTTGCAAAGCAACCGTTTTTTCTTCTATACTTCCATTATTAAGTTTTGTTAAAATATCACAAGCTGTTTTAGAAGGTGAAAATTCTAATCTTAAAATACTACCATTTTTTACTTCATTACGATTTTTTTCTGTAATATAATTTTGATTATTACTTTCCGAAAATTGTAATGAATATGATTCAGGATCAGAAAGTCCCCATCCATTGCACAATTCCTAATAAAAAATAAATATTTGTATTATTTTCATAAATCATTTTAATTAAAAAAAACTGATATAATATTATATATAAAATGAACAAATACTTGAATAATCCCAGTAAGTGGATGTTTTTGATTAAATTCAATAAGTTGTGGTACTTGTTCTGTCATTTCAACAGCAATTTTCACGATATTTGAATCTTTCTGGACCGGCATTTTTATTGTTTGTGTGTACATTAAGTAATCAAAAATAATTTTTAATTATTATCACAAAATTGAAAAATACCATATGCGTGCGTCCAAGCTATCTTAAGAAATACAAATTTGACGTATCTCTCAACACTGTGACGGCCATCATGCTAAAAAACAGTAAGGCTAACTAACGGTCTCGCCCCACCATTATTAGTAAGATTTATTACATATGATTATATTAGTGCTTCAGATTAAATATATAGGATACTGATTATTAAATTTTAAATACGTCTAAATTTTATATATTTTATCAACTTTAATTAAAATTTTATAATTCTACACATATACGCATGCATATATACACAATTTTTTTTAATGATTGGTATTTTAATAAATTTTAACATTAATTTAAAAATTTTGAATTTTTTATTTTTCTATATGCGTTATTTATATCATATTATTTTACAAAAAATTTTTTTTCATATTTTTTTTGTTCAAATTCAAATACAATAATAACAATAATAATTATATTCAACATGCAAATTACATATAACTTATAAGGAAATTCACAGTACTAATTGCATTTTATAAAGCATAATAAAAATTATTTGCTTTGTGCAGTTTTCTAAATTAATTTCTTATCTTATGTATATCTATAATTTTGTTATCACATGTATAACAAAATTACATCTAATAATCATTATTAATTAATCATAATATAATTTCATATAATTCATTTATATAATTTCGTAATATAATTCTATAAATTGATATAAAGATAAAGAACTGCAAAGAAAATATTTTAAAATATTTTACATTGTAACTCAAAGTTTCCAATCCCATGGTATACATAATACACCATCACTCATAATTGAGTAATAATGTGTCACCCATAACATAACATCTTTCAGCAAAGGAGTCAAAGTATTTTTATGTAATAATAAACGTTCACAACATTGTATCATCAAATCAGGAGTAATACTATCATCCTTATTTAGAATAGTCAAACCCAATTCCTGGACAACTTTATTATGAAGTTCACGTTCTACATATTTTATGCTATAAAAGAAAATTAGTTAAAATAAAAAATACATTTTTTAACTTAGTTTAAAAAAATGATCTCACTTGTTATAATGATGTAATCTTTTAGTAGCTTCTTCTAAATTATCAGTAATAAAATTTACTAAGAGAAAACTTGGGCAAGAAGATGGAACTATAAATTGTCCAGTAGGAGAGAGCATTAAGGGACCTGCTTCACTGAAATCAAATAAAACTCATTTTATTATTATACACATATTATATATATATATATATTTATATAATATATCATACTCACAAATAAATTAATTAAATTTATTTTATACTTACAAATGAACTAAAAAAATATATATATATCAGATGTTAAATACATATATAACAGTTACTTAATACTAACGTCTCAATTACAATTTCATATGTTGACAAATCGGTTGGCCACACTTTTGGATAATTTCGTCGACCTCGGTAATCTGAGAGAGTAGTGATAAGTTGTTGTAGTTGTTGTTCATACTGGCTAACCATTACTTTCGGCATGAATTTCCTGCACATATAGAGTACCCTGAGCCTTACCGTCACTCAATTAATATGTTGTATTACGCACCGTCGACCCACTTTAATGTTAAGAAGCACTTGTGAAACTGCCTTCTCAAAAGCTGGTAATCTCAATAATACTACATCGTACTTTTGAATATTCTTAATTAACTGTAATGATAGGTATTCATTTAATAGAGTATATATTACATAAACATACATAAGTTTAATAATATATTCTTACATCAAGCCAATTGTGCCTAACTTCACCTGAATTTAACATAACATTTCCTTCTACACTAATGCCTGTATCATTGGCAAAAACAAGTGTCCTATTTTTGAGTACTTCCATTGATTTAGGATGATGTTCAGATAATGCTTTAAAAGCTAATAAACATCCTCTATAATGAGCTATATTCCAACCACAATCCCATATGATATTTTTTAAACCTAATTCAGAGCATAATATTTTTTCTAATTTTTGTACTTCCTCTCTTATTGGTCTACATGCTTCTAATTTTACATGTACTTCATTAATGTGTTTATCTAAATATGCTCTATGAAATTATAATTAATTTAAATTACTCATTATTTATTTAAAATAAAAAGTTAAAATATAAAATAGCCTTACTTAAGAGTATCAGGTTCTGAATTAATTTTTCTTTTCATTAAAATAGATGCATAAATAGGATCATCTTCTAATTCTGAAAAATCTATATCTTCTCCAACTCCTTTTCTTTGCCAGAATTTTGATTTATATTTTACATTATCAGTTGGTTTTTGTTCTTCAATTTGATCTACAAATGTTGTTGGCAAATCACATGTTTTTAAAATAGAGAGTATAGTTTGTCGTATATCCTTTTCTTTTAATTGTATTTGTACTAAAGTAAATTTTCCAGCTTTAAGTTCTTCCTCATTTTTTGAACGTAAGTAGAAAGGTAAAATAGTAGGTCTTATTGGTCTTTGCTGTTGTAAACTTTCTATAATAGAACTTAACTGTTTTAAAGAATTTTCATTTACTGTCTGAAACATTAAAAGTAAAAAAAATTAAATTTAATATATAATATATAAAATTAATAATATATAATAATAAAATTAATAATATATAATAATAAAATTAATAATATATAATTAATATTATTTATTAATAAAAAAATTAAATTTAATATATATATATTTAATATATTTTTATTATTTATTATGTTTAATATATATATATATTTATTTCCTAACTAATAAAAATTGTAAACTTTTTCATAGTGTAATATATTTATTTATATATAAACATATGCATATACATATATGCAATAATTATTGCACTTCCTTTGTTCTATAAATAATCTCAATTACATTTAAACGATAAACTACGTTGCCGTCGCGTAATCGATTTAAGTTACTTATACTTTAAAAATTTAGTTTTTATAAATTATCTATAATATGTCTTATCATAATTAAGAAATATATTTACTCTTTGTGTAGGATATTGTCCAAAAAGATCGGGATGAACAGTAAAATAAAAAGGTCGGAGTGCAGTGGATATTTCACCTGTACTTAAAGCTCTTACTGCATCTTTTCTGCAAAAACTGTAAGAAAACAATTATTAAATTGTTTTAAATTATAAAAAAAGGTACAATTTAATTATATTTTGAGAATTTTATGATGTATATTTGTTTACCATCTTCCTAATGCACAATACATTTTTGTAATCTACTATATCATCACACGTTCATATCACGTTAAGATTTACAAGTTGAAATACGATAAATATATTCATTATTCATTAATTTAACTAAATATACTACATTTACAAATAAATCTGTCCAATATTAGTCGTGGAATATAATCTTTTAGATATATAATAAAGATTAAAACTACTGACATATACTTCTTCGTATAAGTATCTTTATATCGCGTCAGTATACAAACTCGAATAACATTGGACTTGAACCTCTTCTTTTTGTCTAATCAATGGTGCGATCTATAGAGTATAAGAATGCATGACATATATTGAAATGATCATCAAACATAAATATGTGTGATATTTGATTAATTAAATTATTATTTATTATGTGCAATGTAAGATGAGTTTTATTAATAAAAAAAAAATTATTAAATTTAAAATTTTCTAATTCATATATATATATAAACATATTTATATTTTATTTTTATATGATGCATTGCATAGTTTAACAATATACGTCAGTAATATCAATACTTTATATACTGCATCAGCTGTTTTTGTTTTTGTAGATGTAAACATGTAATGAAAAGAAGAATATTAAGATTAATGCAATATTAAGATTAATACTATAGTATTTAGTTATATCTGTGTTTAGTCACAGGTGGTCGAAGATGATATATATGTATATTATATACATAATGTTTCGATATTTTAAAACAATAAGATATTAATACCATCAATTATTTGATAGACGTGGTTCACTAAACATGGTTTTCGAAGGTTTTTCGAAAGTTTTTATATGTATTATACAACAAAATATAAATAAATGTCCTACATTCTAAATGAATTATCAAGAGAAAAATTTGTGACAACTTTGTATATAACATATTGTAAGTACAAAATATAATGTGTAGAATTAATTTTATAATTATTGAAAATGTAATTTTATAACAAATTTTTTTACATTCTTTGTGTAATAATTAATTTTTTTATATGTTTAGCTTCAATATGTCATATTCTATCAATAGAAGACCTTTATTAGGAAGTGCATCAGATAGTGAATTTGAAGATGACTTAGAAACTGAAGCTGATGATCCAAATATTTCTATTCCAGATGAAAAACCATTTTTTAAACAATATGAACCATGTGACAAGTAATAACTTTTATAGTATTGTTGTGAATATATCTTATATACATATGTGTGGTATGTGCGCGCGTGTGTGTGTGTGCGCGCGCGCGTATATTTATGTTGTATTTTAATACAATTTTATTTTAAATTTATATAATTTTAAAAATTATTTTCTTTTTTTTTTTTTAGATATAATCTTGCATATATTGTTTTTTATGTACTTGGTATAAATACATTAATTCCTTGGAGTTTTTTCATCACAGCTGATGATTATTGGATGTATAAATTTCGAGAAATACATGAAAATTCTTCTAAAAATATTAATTATACTCATGTACAAAACTTGGAAAAAAGAACTGATCTTCAAGCTAGTTTTACATCGTATTTAAGTGTAGCAAGTGCAATACCAAATACATTTTTTTTAATTGTAAATGCATTTATTAATAAAAGGTAAGTAAATTCTATAATATTAATTATGGAATAAGAAAGAATTAATAATATAATAATATAATAATATAATATAATATAATATAATAATATAAATAGTATATAAATAAAAAGAAATTTTAAACTACATAAGAAATATTAAAATAACAGAATTTCTTTAAGAATAAGAATGGTGGGCTCTCAATGCACAATATTATTATTTTTTATTTTAACAACAATATTTGTTAAAATAAATACAGATAAATGTAAGTTTTGTAAAACAAAAAGTATTTAATATAAAATTAGGTATTATAAAATAAAGTAAAATATAAATTTTATTTTTAGGGCAGGGAACTTTTTTAATAGTTACTTTGACTACAGTAGCATGTGTAAATGGTATATATATATTTTGAATTTAAATTATTAATAAAATTAATAAAATATTATTGAATAATTTGATAAAACGATATAAAATAAATAAATGTGTTTATAGCTGCAAGTGCAATTTTTGGAGGAAGTTTAATGGGTATTGTTGGACGTTTTTCTTCAAAATATATAACAGCTATGTCAAGTGGACAAGCTCTTGGTGGAATTGTTACTGCTATGGCAGAAATATGTTCTCTTTGGATTGGTGCTAGTCCTGTTCTTTCAGGTCTAGTTTATTTTATTATTGGAGATGTTATATTATTTTTATCTTTGATTGCATACATAGTTCTAGAAAAAGCAGTAAGTAATTTAGCATTCTAATATATACTAATGATATTCATCATTACATACATATGTTTTATAAGTAGCTTATGATAATAATGCATATATAAATAAATAATATATATTAAAGAGAGGAATTAAATTACATAAATATTATTTATATTTTATAATAGACATTTTTTAAACATCATATGGTAGAAAAATTACCCGAAAATGTAGAAGCAGATTTTTCAATAACTGGAGAAGTAACTTTTCCACATGGCACTACAGTATCTTATATGCGTATTATAAAAAGAATTTGGCATTATGGTATTAGTGTACTTTTAGTATTTTTTATATCTCTTTCTGTATACCCAGCACTTACTGTATTAATAGAAAGTCAATATAAAGGAAAAGGTTATATGTGGAATGGTAAGTTTTATAATTGAATTTTATATAAAATCATATAAATATATAATTTATGCGATTCTTATATTTTTTATAGATATCTATTTTGTGCCTGTAGTGACCTATCTCATTTTTAGTTGTGGTGATTATACTGGAAGAATATTATCAGGCATTTTTCAATGGGTTTGTATGAAATATTAAAAATAACAATTTTCTTTTATTAGAATAAAACTTAAATGCCAAAACAATTTTTTAGCCAAAAAACAAACCATGGCAAGTTGTACTTTTAAGTTTGATGAGAGTTGCCTTCATACCAGCTTTTATGTTTTGTAATGCACAGCCTCGACATCATCTCTCTGTTTATATTCATAATGACATTTTTTATATTTTAATAACTGTTGCATTTGCCATCAGCAATGGCTATTTATGTAATTTAACACTTATTTTAACTCCTACGTAAGTTATGTATAAAATACATATAATATTACATACATTAACTCAATAAATTATTAATTTTATATTAAAAATTTTTAAACAGAGTTGTAGATTCTCAAGAGAAAGAAATTGCATCTGCTATGATGGGAGCTTTTCTTGGTGTAGGATTGATATCAGGTTCTGCACTCAGTCTATTCATAGTTAAAGCAATTTAATTATAATTTAAAAAATTTTTCACTGCCCTTTATATATTTAAAATGAAATAGAACCACAGAACATAATATCACATCATATTAAGTAAATTTATTTTATACTTATTTTATATTTCATGACAAAATTTATGAATGTAACATTTAATACATTGCAGTAAATGTTTAAGCATTTCTTTGAGAATATCTGTAATCATTTTATCAACAATCATTTTAATCAACTTTAACCATTCCATTCATGATTATATAAAATATTTTATGTATAAAATGAATATAATTATATGTAAGAGATCTAAAATATATATTAATATTAAAAATTTAACATCATTGTAAAATTACAACCAATTATATATTATATATTACTTAAATATCATATTTTTAAAAAATCAAAATGCAATAAGTTATAATAAATATTTTAATTACTGTCAAAACTAAAACTATAGTACAATATATATAAATTTATATTTAGCCGTAATAAAAAAGAAATGTAATTAAATTCATATATTTAAATTCATATATATTGTTATTATAAACTAACTAAAACTTTCTAAATAAATAAAAGATTTCATTAAAGACAAAATCTTATTGATGTTCCATGTCAGATATGTTGACACAGAATATATTACATACATTTTATAGTATTTTGTGTTACTAAGATTATATCATATACAATTTGAATTTTATTTATGCACGTAATAAATATAATTTAATTTTTTTAATATAATTTATCATTTTGTGCATATATTAGAATAAATATAACTAAAACTATAAGTTTTAATTACTATTTTAAATTTAATTCACAGAAAAAAATTACTCACTTATTGGAGCACACATCTATTTCATGAAATATAATATTGACTATCTCTACTAGTTAGTGGAACAAAAGCTACACCTGTAAGAGGCTTTTGTGTAATGCTTCCATCATGTGTTTTGTCAACCTGTATTAACATTTGATCTGATATTCCTGAACCTACTGGCAATACCATACGTCCTCCAAGAGCTAATTGATCAATTAACTGTGCACAAAAAATATTTTAATAAGTATAAATTGAATTTTTTAATTATAATTCACATTAAATATTTAAATTTTTTCTTACCGCATGTGGCAATTCTTTAGCAGCAGCTCCTACATGAATAGCATTATATGGTGCTTGTTGTGAGTATCCTAATCTTCCATCTCCAGCTAAAATATTATATATCTCTTATAAAGGATATAAATCTATATATTTCCAAAAAATTTTTAAAATAATTACCAACAAATTGAATACGATTATATTCAATAAGTTCTGGTTTATCCTTCTTAACGTTTTCCATAGCAAATAGATTTAATTCAGGAATATGTTCAATTCCTACAACTAATCCATTTGGCCCTGTCATCAATGCCATACATGTTGTTAAATATCCAGAACCAGAACCCACATCTAATGCTCTTGCACCATTATATAACTTTTCTTCAAGTATTTCCAATGCATATGCATGCTGAACAATTTTAATTTATAAATTTTATTGATATAATATAATAATATAATATGAATTCAGAAGATACATACCATATGAGGAGCACTTATAGTTGCACCATAACCAATCTGTTGTGGAGCATCAAAATATGCATATCCAGAACGAACATAATTTCCTCTATCTACAGCAGACATTACTTCATAAACTCTGTCAGTTTTAATTATTCCTGATGCTAAATTCAAAACATTGATTTATTTATAATATTATTTTTGTTAATATAAATATAATTTAAATATAATATAAATATAATTTAAAAAATAATAATAAATAAACAATTTATAATAATTATACTTCATTTATATTGCTTACTCCTAAGATATTCTACAAGATCTTGATTAGTTCTTCCATTAAATCTTGCAAACCAGGCCATTTCAAATACAGGAAACAATAAACTTATCACTATGAAAATAAAACACGATAATTTTATCATAAATTGAATTTTCGTAAATTGTGATTTAATGAAGCACTCGAAATATGATCGTTGCAATAATTTACTTATAAATTTATTAGAATGATTATAATTAAATATATTAATATTTATCTATATTAAAAAACAAAAAATAAATTTATTATATATGCAAAATACTTCAGCAGCTTTAAATATAATTATGTATGCAAATACTTCAATAATATTAAAAGACAAGTAAAATGAAATCACTTAATATAAATCAAAAAAATTTATTTGTAACAAATATAACTAATACACTGATTTTAATGTATCTGTCTTGTACGTATATTGCAAATTTCTAATAAAATATAACTTTATCAATATGTACTGAATACAGACAGATATGAAAGATTAAGACGTACAAGACCAACGTAACATATCAAATAACGAAGTGACATGTAATGATGCAATACGGCAGCAACACAGATTTGTTTTCAAACCGGTCAATGAAATTGTAAATATATTTGATAACATAAAAAACACTATACCAGACTACTAGAAATACTATTCTACTAGGAACATTATAATCATCTAGTAACAAATGAGTGAAAATTATTAAGTAGAAAAATTGAAAAGTTTCATATTTCTTAATTTTTAGTCTGAATTTTTTAATCAAATTGATGTTCAAATTCTAAAAAATAATTAAAAATTAATTTTTTTGAAATATCTTTTTTTATTAAGTTAAAGATAAATAAAAATTGTATAATATTGTAAAGTTAGTTATAACTATTAGTTATAATTAGATAAGATAGTTGAACATAGTAGTTTCTTATTGTTTAAACATTAATTTGAGTTTTTAAAAGTTGAAATATATAAATTTGTTAATTAATTTAATTAACTATTACTAAAATTAATAACTAATTAATTTTTTTTGTTTATCGCTAAATGTACTGATGTAAATTAAATATAAAATATCATTTTTATTATAAATTGCTTATTATAATTAAAAAAGCAGAAATATTTTAATAAAATTAATTTGAATTATTTTCTTCAAATTATTTTGAAGAGTTTAAACTTAATTTAATTCTGTAATTAGATACTTATTCATTGAATATTTTATCTATACATTTTTTTCTTTTTTAGTATTGTTATTTCATCTATATGTTATTTTTTCTATGGTAATATATGTTATAGTATTTACGTTTAAACAATTAATAATGTAAAAATTATATTCTTTTTATAAAGATTATATAAAATGTTATTTCGATTTTGTCATATTGATTGCAAAACTATTAATATATCATTTGTCAATTTTACAAGGCACTATGTAATTACGTATTTAATATTTGATTATTTTTATATGACTTTTTATTTTGTATTTTGAGTTAACCTTATATAAATTTCAATTTAGGCAAGAGCGATAGTTAGAAGCTGTCAAAAAGAAAATGAAATAATTGATAACGAAGTAAAAAATCAAAAAAAAAGAATACCGATAATACTTTCCAAAAAAAATTATATGACTTTTATAAAGATGATATACATATTAAAAAAAATTAACATTAGCTAGTCATGGATGGAAAAATAGAAAATCCAAAAATGATCACTTTTTTATATATCCTTATCACAATGTATAATAATTTTTATCTATTTTTATATATGTGTATGTATTTTATAATATATATTATTATAATATTATATTTCTTTTACAGGATAAGACAGAGATAAATAAAATTGATTTTGAAACATTTAATGAGCTTAATATAAATAATTCTATATGTAATAATTTAGAAAATTTGGATATATATGAACCTTTAGAAATTCAAAAATTAGGAATACCAAAAATTCTTCAAGGATATAATGTATTATTAGCAGCAGAAACAGGATGTGGAAAAACATTAACTTATCTTTTGCCATTGGTAACTAAAATTTTAGAATGGAAACAAAATATACAAAGTAATGTAAATGCTCCATTTGGCTTAATTATAACTCCTTCAAGAGAATTAACAGTTCAAATTGCGGTTAGTAAATTATATTATTAATATGTTACTAATATAAATCTAAAACTTTCATTTATTATAATATTTACAAAAAACTATTCTATTCTATTCTTTTTTAGTTGGAATTAATTAAGATATCTAAAGATCTTGATATTAAAATAAAAATAATCACTGGTGGCAGAACAAAAAAAATAATATTGAATCCTCCTGTGGGTCAAGTTGATATTCTTGTTTGTAGTTTTGGAGTTATTAGTAAATTGACAACATTTGGTATATACAATCTGAAATTTGTAAGATTTGTTGTCTTAGATGAAGCAGATTCCTTATTTCATCATTCATTTGAGGAGAAATTAAGAATATTTATGAAAAGAATATTTGTATGTAGAAAAAAAAAAATATTTGATAAATAAATGTTTGATAAATTTCATGAAGTTTTAATAAATACAGGTTGGATATTGTCATACAACAAAAAATGAATTGACCGATTCAGCTCAACTTATTTTAACTTCTGCAACAATTCCTTCACGAATGAAAAATATATTGAATGGAATTGTAAATGTAAGTGATAGAACTTAAGTGATTTTAAAAATAATTTTAAAAAACAATAAATAATTTTATTGTAGCTAGATTCGCTAAAACATATAACAACAGAAAAATTACATAAAATATTGGTTCCACAAAAATTTATAAGATTAATACCAAGTCAAAAACCTGTGGAACTTCTGAAATATATAAAACCTAAAGTGTTAAATAATCAACGTATAATTATATTTTGTAATCGAAATAGTACTTCTTATTGGCTTTCTTCTTTTTTAAACGAATGTGGTATTAAAGTTACAAATTTAAATGGCGATATGCCATTGTCTGTACGGCGAGGAAAATATGGAGAATTTATAAATGGTAAAACTATGGTATTATCTATGACAAATGGAGGTTCCCGAGGTTTAAATACAGTGATGGTTAATCATATTTTAAATTATGATTTTCCATTAGACACAGCCAGTTATATTCATAGGTATTTAATTTACTTAATTTTCAATTTAATTGAAACTTTCATTTTCAATTTAAGTTTTTTATTTATGTATAATAAAAAAATATTATGTTTTATTTAGATGCGGTAGAACTGGAAGAATAGGTACTATAGGTGTTTGTAGAGTGACAAATTTTATTTCCAAACTAGGAGAAGTCGTTCTGGTTCAAAAAATTGAAATGGCAGCTAGAAAAATGAAGCCAATACCTTTGTTCAATCTCGTGGATAAGGAAAAA